TGCATACCAGCCGTATCGATGTCATCTCTCAGCATAACATACTCTTGCACTACTTCTGCCAAAGCTGGCTCCTTGGTCGATGGCAGTACCGTAGCCGGACGTAATGTGAGATGCGGCCTTCTCAGTGTCAAGGAATGATTCGGGTCATTGAGCTCCTTCCTAATAGCATTCCTTTCCGTAAGAGTTGAATATAATATAATGTCTTAGATAAAAAAATTCCTGTAGATTGTCAAGTGTCTTAATACAAAGATAGTAAGTAGAAGGAAAATGAGCTAAATAATCCGACATTGACACTATAAAGTATATTTGCGTCAGAGAAATATAGATCCAGAGAAAAATCTTACCGATGTTCAAGAGCGAATTATTGAGAGCGTCGTTGTACTTGTCTAATATATAAGAGCGACAAAGTTTGTGGCAATTCGAAGATTTCACCCCAGTATATGTTTACCGAATGTCATTTCCTTCATTGTGATCATCTATGAACGAAAATTGAGTTGTCGCGGAGAGCATCGACCACAGGTGTGAGGGACGGTCAGACACTCGTTGAATCCCTGTACATACAGTTAATAAATTTTCATTCTCGAATATTCCCCTTAATTTTTGGGTACCCTGGATGGCGAATGGCGAGGGGTCTACCAGAATATTCGACAAATTACAAATAAAGTCACGTGAGGGCGAGCCCCTAGTCCCTATTCTGCCTACTTCCCTTAGCGTCATAGCTGAAGAAATTTCCAGAAATTGGTGCAAATGTTATATAAACCCAGTTCTCTCTCGTCATGGGTCTCCCCAGAAAACGAAACATAACGACTATCAAAGACCACTGCGAGATCAACGATGTCTCTCTCACGAGCGCTCTATAACGAATTCCAGCCCTATTTCCGCCTATTCGAAGACCCCTTCGTGTATCAACCCTCCTCAAGGCGGTCTGTAGGTGACCCCACTGGATGGCATCGATCCAGTCCAGCGCTCAACCTACAGGAAGAAGAGGATGGATCTTACGTCATCGAAGCCGAAGTTCCAGGAGTCAGGAAAGAGAACCTCGATGTTCGCGTTGGCGATGGCGGCAGGAGCCTCACCATCGAAGGTCGTGTCGTGCGCCGCAGTCAACAGCAACAGCAAGACACTCCTCAACAACAGGAAGCAACCACCGCCACTCCTGCTGACACTAGTAATAACGCATACCAGAAGTCCTCTTCTACAGCTGTAGTCCCATCGTCGAATGGTAAGCAGCCATCTCTTTGTTCCGACGACCGAGCTGATACTAATACTTTGATTGCAGATACCGAAAAACAAGTGTCCACCAATACTTCTTGGGCTGGCAGTCGCACATTCTCTCGCACCGTGTGGCTTCCACATGCAATCAACAGGGAGGGCATCACGGCCAGGCTCGAAGATGGCATCTTGACAATTCGCGCTCCTAGAGCTAGTCAAGAGGCCTTCAGTGTTCGCGTCGATTAAATTGTTCGCATATGGCTTTCTTGAAACAAGTTTGTTCTTTTCATAGTACAGTGTTTCGGAACCAAACAAAACGATCAAAACTAATGTACAAATAGGAAATGTACGAAAATTGCATAATGAAAAACGTCTTGATTCTTTACGTGTTGAATTTTTTCAATGAGTTGTAAGGCATCACCGACCAAAGGGTCAATACACTTGAGTTATTCTCTACTGACAATTGGGTCCTCGTGTTGATTTGAAGCGAGTACAGTTAGTTGAGGCTACTTTTGCAGCGTTTTGTCCACTTTAGTGAGTGAGGCGGTCAACTGAATATTGAGGTCGAATTCAAATCGAAAATTTAGACCTCTCCACTTCATGCCACCATCTCGTCCCGAGCGCTACAATGCGAAAGCAAGACGATCTGTAGCTGGAGGCAGCTCACATAAGAAAAAGAAGTTAAAGAAGGTTCTCATTTCGGGTCAAAAGTCTGATCCCAATGCTGAGATCCTTGAGCGCAAGTCGCTCGAAGAAAAGGAGGCCAGTAGGAGACAAATATTGATGGA